AACTTAGGAATGACTTGAGCACTCCAAACAATTCAAACTTTCATGCTATGAAATAAAGTTTTTTTTGTTTTTAATCTATACTAGTGACACATATTTACAGGCAGCACACAGAAATCCATATTTCTGCATTAAAACTTAGAAACCACATGTGGTATGGACTTCAGATTGAAGAAATGGTCCTCTTGATCTTTTTGAGGATTTGAACCATTCCTTCACTGCTGGCGCTGGTTGTGAAATCAACCATCCAAACCCGTGAGCATGTATGAATGAAACGTATGTTTACCGCCATTTTCCCCGCGAAATTATTTGATGAAAATTAAGAAAAAAAGTCGCTTCACAAAACTCAGAAATATATGTGTATATCATTTATAATTCACACAACGGGAGCAGTGCAAACGACACAGATTATACCAAGTTAAAATAAGATAGCCTCATTCGCAGCTGAATGGCGGAAAGTTTTTCATTGTTTATCAAGGCTGCATCAAATTCTTGCTGAGACCATAAAGTGAACACTATTTTTACCTTATCGCTTATGATCTTTTTTAAATGTTCACCTCGTTTTCTGCTTGAATAAGCAAACGATATGAAACTTCATCTGAAAATTAAAGACTGTATTAAAATGGACAGAAAAGTTCACGCTCAAATTGTTTGTCGTTTTGAATTTAATATGCGAACCGCGGAACGCGAATACTCAACGCGAAAATACTTTCACAAGTTTTAGGGCAATCACTAAGACGGATATTTTTTATTGATGAAATCTTTGACAATTTAAAAATAAACCCAGGTTCGTTCACACAAGTGAAATTTATTTACAACTGCAAGCCGCTTTTCATAACAGTTTTTTTATTTATAGAATCCCCCGTGCTTGTGTTATCAAGTTTGCTGTAAAGTCAAGTATTTTCGTGTCCACTGAAACAAAATACGTTTCTCAAATACATCTGGATGTATCTCAAATATATAGTGGATCCTGTACCGTCAAGCTTTCCAAGCTTTTGCAATTCCTCTTCTTTTCGATGGCAAATGACCAGATTGCATGTGCTGTCTTACGCTTCCAGATAAAATTGTCACGTGCCAAAGTTCAGTCGAGTGGAACGAATTTCATCACGTCCCAAGCTCGACTGAATGCAATTCCTTGATCTTTGTTTACAGTGTAACATTTCATTTTATTCAGTCTCCATTTCTGTTGGTTAAAATCCCACAACAACTAGCTTTGCAAAGTGAATTCTTAATGCTCAGAACGTTTTTCTTTTCGCTCTGGATGATAGTCCGCTCAAGCTCCTGATGCACAGGTCACGTTAATTTTAGTCGCCGAGCTGGCGACTTGCGTTCTAATTTAGTCGCCAGCTCCAAAATTCTAGTCGCCATGGCGACTAAAATGGTCGCAACTTGGAGGGTTGATACTGACTGTGTTCAAGGGCTTTTTACAATACTAGTGTGTCTTTCTGTTTAGAAATTATACTTTATCTATCAACTTACACAACTGCATCGACATTTGGAAACTTTGGCATCAGCATATGTCTCAGTTTAGAAAACATCCAATTTCCAAGAAGCGTCTCCAGACATTGACATCGACTATGTAGAGTTTTTCTCAACTGTTACTGGTCAAAGGAGTCATAAGGTTCACTCCCATCAATCTGAAAATCACATATAATATTTTAGTTAATCACATATGACATGTAATGATCTCCTGCCAGTTGTAAGACTAATACCAGTTTATACATCAGGGTACGAAGAAAGTTCTTGATTTCTTTTTAACAAAAATAAATTAAAATACAATGCGCAGTTCCAGAAAATATCCATACTCCCCCTATAGAAGGGATTGGATTTCCTGGGGGTGGGGTGGGGGTTCTGTAAGACCAAAATATTTAAACAAAATTAATGTTTGAAGCTTAATTGGAGTTTTCAGAGGGGTGGAGAGGGGGTCTTAGGGAAAAATCCCTTCCATAGGCAATGTATGGATATTTTCTGGAACATCACATTACTGGCCTGTGTATATCAATTGAAAGTTGTTTTGATAGCAAGATATTTGATACCCATTTACTCTGCTGACAGCATATCCAACAAGAAAGCGGCAGGCAAAATCAGTCTTTGATGCATTCAGGGATTTCCAAGCTGAAGCAAGTAAGTTGCAGGATGGAGTGGTCATTCAGTTTTAAAAATCACTGTATCTTGTTATTAGAAAATGTAAGAGTGGGATTACTTGGTTAAAAGCTTTGCAGGATCTTAAAGGAAGACCTCTTTATTATCCCTAAAGATAAGCACATCTCAAAGATCTTTTACATAATCTTTGGTCGCAAGATCAATGAAGGCTTTTCAAGATCTGTGGTAAGATCCTTGAAGATCTTACTTAGCTATAATTTTGAAGATCCTTTAAAATCCATGTTAAGTTTCATTAACCCTTGGATGCACAAGGAGGTAGGGGAGTGGATGCCACCCCTCCATAAGGTTTTTTAAAAGTTTTGAAAAACAATTTAATCTAAGAGGCTGAAACTTTCAATAGTGCGAAATTTTGATATGTCAATTGAGAGTCCATGATTTTTTACATTGCCAAGGTTACAGTATGGCAAATTTCATGTGTAGATCTGGCCAAAAATTAACTTTTTTCACATAATTCTCTCTGTTTTCTAGTTTTCTTCATCAAATTACAGTAACTGATGAATGTTCACATTCCATAACCATTCTAGTTTGATTTTGTATTAATTTCTGGTATTTCTTGACTCTTTAAGAAAATAGTGAAATCCAAGATGGCAGGTCATATGAGGTCATTTGATATCACATGACATCATAACCAACATTAATGGTGTCATCTTGTAGAGCAAGCTCAGGGCTATCTACTTATAATGTAATTTTAATTTGCACTGTCTTAAAAGATTAAATTTGGAAATACAGTTAACAATAAAGATTAGCGAAAAAACTGAGCAACGACGTTTCGGTGTCATCCTGGCACCATTTTCAAGTTAAAAAAATATTTGTGCGAAAAGTAAATAAATGGTGCCAGGATGACACCGAAACGTCGTTGCTCAGTTTTTTCGCTAATCTTTATTGTTAACTGTCTTAAAAGAATGAAAACCCAGGGGAGGGGCTCCATCCACCCCCACCCTCCCTTCCATCATGGTGGGGGTATGAGTTTGCTTATACTGTACATCCAAGGGTTAAGATCCCCAGTTATCATAAATAACATTGCAAAAGATTCTTGCAAACATCCTTGAAGATCATTGAAAACATCTTGCTATTGATACCCCCTTTTAGGGTTTCACCAAGGACCAGGCTTTTAGCTAGATGGGTGTCCAGGTGTCTTGTGGATGGCCATTTTCTATAGTAAATTATTTTATTTTTCATATGTTGCCTTATAAATTACCCATTTGAGCAGGCCCTTTTGCAGATTTTGGACAGACACTTTTCCAATTCTGTTTAAAACCCTGCCAAGGACTGTCTCTTGTTATGGTTTCTTTCATGCCAACAGATTGTGTCAGACAACACCTCTTCATTGATTAGTCAGTGACTGAGGTTTTTTTTGTTTGTTTAATTAGGGCAGCAAGAAGGTAGAAGCAATGTGTCTGAGCCAACAGGAAAGCAAAAGACATTACATGATTTATTCCGACCTCCAATAGATCTTCTGCATAAAGGGACATTTGAGACTGTAAGTTTACAAAATAAATGACTTTCAAGCATTCTTTACTGAGTCATCTTTTCTACAACTATTATTTACCAGTCTCAGGGGGTGTAATCAGGTATAATTGTGTTAAGGAAATGTGAACAACTGTTGGCTTTTTGGGTTTTAATTTGTAATCTGAGGACTTTTGGGGGGGGGGGGAATAGAAATTTTGCAGACACCTCTTTACTTTACCACCTGTCTTCTTAATTAACAGTATGCTAAATAATATTTCACAGAGAAATCATATCTCAGTCACTCTATTTTCCAGGCTAAGGTTGATGGACAGCATCACAGTAAGTGGCTGTTAGTAAATGTGCAAGACGTACGAGAATTTCCATGTCAGCAGTTGAACAGGGACGTATGGAGTAATGAAGCTGTTAGAAATATTATCAAGGAGCGTTTTGTTCTCTGGCAGGTTTGGGCACCGTTTAATTTCTATGTAACCCACTTATGTCCAGGATTGAATGCTAGTGTTGTTTAATTAGTACTTCATCTTTGGCATGGTTATTTGACATTTTCATATTACTTCAAATTTTACAGAATTGTGTGTGTTTTGGTGACTTTTTACCAATGAGAACACTTTGTGATGCTTATCATAAGGAATTTGAATCTCATTAGCATTCAATCCTGGACATACCTGATGTAACCAGGTTATTCATTCCTTTAAAGCAAGTTCAGGGATAATCACTACAGATCCCGTTTGTTTCGTGTCACAAGTCTCCCAAGCATTTTCATGCAAACATGAGCAAACCCTGTCCAAGGAAATATACTGTTATTTAGAATTTTTTTGTATAATCCCTAGCTTTGTTTTAAAGTTAGCCAGAGAGTAGCTGTCAATTCTAGTGGAGAAATTGTTATCAAAAATATTAAATTTTATAACTCGACTGGTATTTATTTCACCAACAAGTGTAATTTAATAAAATTTCTTAGGTGTACAGAGACAGCAACGAAGGAGACAGGTTTATTCAGTTTTATCATGTGACGTCGTACCCATATCTGGCAGTACTTGATCCAAGGACAGGTAACCTTGATGACACTTTGTTGTACATTCAAGTATAACCTCTTCAGAGGGTTTGTGGCAGATCAGAAATCATAGACATATGAATCTTAAAAAAAACAAACAAACAAACAAACAAAAGGAACCAAAATTCAACTTTGTGGGCATTGTCAAATTCTTGTTTACTCTATACCAGGTCTATAGTATTTCTTAAATTCATTAATCATTCATGAAGTTTAATTATATAGCAGTCAGTTAATCCAGTATTGTCAGCACAGCTATTATCCTTTAATTTCTGAAAACTGTCCAATTTGGGATTTAATTTGGACAGTTT